AGAACCGGAACGGCGTCAGAGAACCGGAATTACGATGCCAGAGAACCGGAACGGCGTCAGAGAACCGGAATTACGATGCCAGAGAACCGGAACGGCGTCAGAGAACCGGAATTACGATGCCAGAGAACCGCAACGGCGTCAGAGAACCGGAACGGCGTCAGAGAACCGGAATTACGATGCTAGAGAACTGGGTACTGCGTTAGAGAACCGGAACGTCAGAGAACAGCAATGACGACGCCAGAAACCAGGAACAGTTTCAGAGAACCGGAACACGGATCATAAATCTCTACAAGCTTCAGAATCACGGCGTTTAAAACGGACCGGCCCGTTCAGCGCAGCGGTTTCATCGTACATGTTCTCAGAGAACAGCAGACGGACGTTCTGCCTGTTCGGGATCTTCTCCCACAGGTGAAAAACAGGTGTTCTCGCGTCCTAACCAACAGCTAAAGGGGTCAAAGGTCACATCTGGTCTCAAAAAATCTAAACAACCAGCAGGAAAACTTTAACACCGAAATAAGGATGGAAAAAAATTAACTTCCTTTCAAACAATCTAAAAACTTTAAAATCCCAATAAGGAGCATCAAGCCGGATGTTTCTGATCATCTTCATCACGACCACATCGATGCGCAGACCTTTAAAACACTGAAAAAGATAAAACTAATAAAATCCCAGTTTAATCTAGGAGGCGACGCTTAAACCCGGAGCTAAAGCTGCTGTGAGGCCCATCAGTAAACGCAGCTTAAAAAAGGCCGTTATTGTTATTTTATTTTATTTTAATTGTGGCCTAATTCCCCGTCTGAGGCGACGGCGGTCATAGAAACACAGCGGCCATTTTTCCTGTCTTCTTAAACATCACACTGATCTGCATTAAGCAACAATGGAGCCCGATCAGCAGCAGACGGAACCAAACGAGTCGATACGGTGCTGATTGGCTGGAATGTGACCAAAAAGTCTGGTTGCCATGGCTACTCGGACCCAGGTAGGGGCCTTCTGGATGTTTCTACTACTTTCCATAATCATCTATAGGCAGGTACCTTCAGCTGCATCCGATTTTCTACAAATTGGGACGTTTGGAGGAAAAGTGTTCGACTAAACATCAACAAACGGATTATAGACGAGCTCCAGGATTTTTCCAGGTGGAATCCGTTTCTAGGAGGATTTAGAGTGATGCGTTCCTTCAGCAAGAGGCTGATTGAATCCGGATGGATGAAAACTAACCCCGAAATCCGACCGTCTGAGCAAAGCAAAGCCTACAGCCTCCGCTGTTCCTCCCTTCCCGCTGCGCTCCGACGTCCTCGGAGTTTGAGGAGAGCGTGCGCCATATTATTAACTTCAAAGGAGCAAAACGTGCATAAATGATTAACGCTTGATTTAATATAAAAAAAATCCTCCCCATCATCCAGCAGATGTTCAGTTTCTGCCTAATTTTCTTTTTGCTGTGGGTTTCTGTAGCAGAGATAACTGGGATCATACATGTTTCGTTTGAACCGTTTGTTCTCTACTTCCAAACTCAGCATCTCTTCATCCATTCCTGCAAAAAGACGTTTGTTTTGAAGTCATGTGACCAATAAACTGCCTAGGGACTACGGATGAAAACTAGCTTTGTTGCTATAATCCGGCATATTTACATTTGTTTTTATACTGATGTTCATTAAAGTGCTTTGTCCCTATTCAAATATATAA